CTGGCGGGGCACTGGGCCTGGTCCCGGGCCGGCCAGCAGGCGGCGGGTTGCGGACACTAACTCGGAAGGAATGCGGCTCTCTTCCTGTCCTGGACTTGTTTGGCCCCAGAGTTTCCCCGACGTGCGTCTTCCCTCCCCCTCCACCCTGGCAGGCTGCTCCCCCCCCAAGCCTTGGGCAATCTCCTTCCTGCCTCTTCAGCCCTCCCCTTCGGAGTGACCGGGACTGCGCTTTTCTTGGGTATGGGGGGTTCTTGGTTTGTCCCAGGAGTGTCCCCCCCCCCCCAGGAGAGCCGAGGCCCCTCGGGCCGTGTGGGGCGGCTGGTGGCAGGCGTTGTCCCGGGGCGGTTGTGACTCGTTCTCTGTAAGCTGGGCTTTCCCAGAATCGGCTGGAATCCACGCTTGAGTCAGGGAAAGAAGTGGACTTAGTACCTGGTGGCCAAGCCCCACCCCGCCTCCTCCCCCCAGCCCGGAAGGCCGGCTGGGCCGCCGGCGTCCCATCCACCGCGTGCCATCATGCTGCTATTTTTGATTTCGGGTGTAGGTTACATCCCCACAGCAGGCTGGCGTTTCTTCCTGTGAGGGCAAAGGTAGCCACGGGCCGCTAGCCCTGTGCCGTCCACATCCTAGCTGGGGTCAGGATGGCCAGGAGGGCTGGCTCCCAGAGCTGCTCTGTGGATGGCCTGGGGGAGTTGAAGTCTGGGGCCATCCAAAACAATTTTTTTAGAGCTGATGGGGCACTAGGTGTCAGGTTGTCAGTTATATTGCCCTCCTAGGACAGTGGGGGCACTGAGTGGACAGCAGGGTAGTCTGGGGTCAGCTGGGCACGAGTGGCAGGAATGGCACCATGGAGCCCATTTTAAGGTGCTGGGGTTCAGGAGGTGACCTGAAGAACTTGTAAAACTAGGTAAATGCCAGTCCCTGAGAGGACTTCACAGGCGCGTACTCTATTCTCTGGGGTGTGGAAAGAGTTTTTGTTTTGTTTTGTTTGTGTGTGTGGTCTTGGGTCTTTTTTGGGGGGTGGGGAGTCATGGGACTTGAACTCCAGGCCCAGGAGCTGTCCCTCAGCTCTTCAGCTCAAAGCCAGCACTATACCTTTTGAGCCACAATGCCAC